CCATGAAATACTACTCAGCAATAAAAAGAAATAAACTATTGTTACTTACAACAACTTGGATGGATCTCAAGGCCATTATGCTGAGTGAAAAAATGCCAACCTCAAAAGATCATACACTGTCTGATTCCATTTATATAACATTTTTGAAATGACAAAAAAGGTATCATTTTACAATGATGGAATCTTTTACAGTGATGGAATAGTTTTGCAGTGATGGAATAGTTTTGCAGTGATGGAATAGTTTTGCATCTTGAGAGTCAGGGTGACTGCAGTGTCATCACATTTATACCTGTAATGAAACCACGTAGAACAATATACACACATTTTATGAATGTCACCTTCTTGGTTTGGGTATTGTACTATAGTTACATGCGTGTAAGATGTAAACACTGAGGAAACTGATGAAAGGCACATGGGACCTCTCTGTACTGTCTTTGCAATTTCCAGTGAACCTATAATTATTTAAAAATCAAAAGTTAAAAATTCAAGTATGAATTTCCTGCTTATATTTTTGAGTTTGTATGAGTTACAGAGGCCCACAGTGCTGAGATTCTGCTCTCACCATGGAAAAACCTACATAACAATCATCTTTTTAGTATTTTAAAAACACTTTTAAAAAAATTCACTCTGTGGTGAGAAGTAAGAAGACATTGCTTCATATTGAACAGATTTAAGGAATACATGACATGTCTGCCAGATCTTTCTAGTAAGATTGGTTCACTTCAGGTCATTTTCTGAGTAGATGTGACTGAAATCATAAAAAGTGGCTCTTTTCTCTTTGCTACAAGTCATTTTCTTTGGGAAGAAGAACCCCGAGGAAATTACTTTTACGTGTCCATATTTATTACAGCTGAAGCTTTGAGAGACACTGCCAATTTTGACACTTAAGTCTCCTAAAATTTGTAACTCAACATATGGATACTTAGACTGCCAAATCAGGCATAAACATACGAGAAACCTATAGAAACATGAGTAGAAGGGACACATACAATAAGAAATATTCAGGCAGTCTTATGAAGGCAGCAAAGTAGCTAAGAAGATATATGTATGTATATATATATATATATATATATATATGCATACACACAAACGCACACATGTACACACATGACCACATATTCCAGGAAACCTTGTACGGTTTGGCTCCCACTGAAACTAACATATTAAAGGTTGAAATGACAATAACAACAAACCCCTAAGTTTCAGTTCCAATAAGCTTCTTTTAGGTTTCACGTAATTTTTATGGTATTTGTTACTGATGGCCTTCTTGAGATTCTAGACCCCCTTTGGCTTTTGGTGACTCCACTCTTTCTTGCTTCAACCTCTCTCTCCTTGATTATTTTTATCAGCCTTGTTTGTTCAGGCTTCTCTTTCTCTGTCTCACTTATATGTTGGGTTCTCCAACATTAGGTCCTTAGCACTATTCTTGTCTCTGCCTACATGGCCTCTCTGAGGAATCTTATTGGTGGTTTCCATGTCCATGCTGGTGATCTCCAAATCTGTATTTCTAGTCTCACCTCTTCCTTACATTCAAAAGTCATACATTCAATGCTTACTGCATGTTTTAATCAGGATGTCCTAGAAGTACTCATATTGCCTGTGTTCAAAGCAGGACTCCTTATCCATCTTTCAACATCCTCCACCTCCATTCCCCACTTGCCAAACATACTTTAAAGCACTTAAGTCAGAAATATTGGTACCCAACCTTTACTGTCACTGCCACCCCACCTAAGCGATCCCTACTTCTTTTCTGTCCTATCCTCTTATTTTCTTTTGAATCTGTCATCCTCTCCAAGCCCAATGTCACTGCTCTTAGTTCAAGCCTTTTTAATTTATTGCCTGGTCTATTTCAATAATCTCCTGACTATTTTTCCTACATCCAGTCTCATACCCTTCTCTCTGCCTCACTTCAGTCTAGCTTCCATGAGTTTTCTAAAGCACCCATCTTCAGTGGTTTCTCATTGCTAACAGGAGTCTTTCATGAATTGGTCTATCTCTGGACTCATTTTTTTCTCTCTTGCCATCAAGCACCTATTGTCAGCCATACTGATAAACAAGCAGTTCCTCCAGACCAGGTTTTCCATGACTCTGAGCCTGTTCTTGCTACAAGTTCCTTTGCCTGGAATGCACCACCTTCCCAGCACCGCCTGCAGAATATCTACTTACCCTTTAAGACTCAGATTGTTACCTCCTGCATGAAGCTTATTTTGACCCCCAAATACACTTGGCTACTCCCTCCTTTGGGCTCCCTCTGCATCCTATAGAACCATCTACTGTCTTATCTGCATGACTTTATACATCCCCTTCTACTGAACTGTGAGTTCCCTGAGAAAAGGACTAATATCAAATTCATTTTTGAACCTCCAGCACCCAGCACAATGTCAAGGGCATTGTAAGAACATCATAGTCACAGCTAATATTTTTTAGGGGTTACTCAAAGGTATTTTTCTAAGCCATCTGCACACACTCTTATTTAATTCTGACAACTCTACTAAACAGGTTCTATTTTCCCACCACTTTACAGATGAGGAGATGTTACTTAAATTATAATTGAATGCACCGAAATGCACTTGACAAATATTTATTGAAAGACTTTAAAAAATGGATGAATGCCCAAGTACACAGTCCTTTCCCTAGGAATAAGGCCCTAAAATATCCCTCTGAATTTCGTTCACTGCAGGAAGCCCACCAGAACCATATGTTATTCTGGCACAAACTGTTGCATTTTATGATTTGGAGAAGGTTTGCAACCCATTTCCATTACCACAGTCCATCTTCTGATTCCAAAGCATGATCTAAGATACATGCCTGTAAAATGACACTAAACAATATTCATACAAAGGACTCTGATGTTTTTACTTGGTTGGCAGGTTATTGATTTATTTTCTGAGGTGGGAGTTAACGATTGCTGAATTCTAAAGCCAAAACCAGAGATAAAGTCATAGGTCCTACATAAAAAACAACTTATTTCTTTCTGATATAGTACCTTCACAAATAATTCTTCAGAGAACTGCATCATTTTTAAATGGACTCTACCCAGTCCTATACTCAGCATACATTTTGATTCTAAAGGAAAGATCTCTAGAGAGTGCAAAGACATGAGTTTAGAATCAGAGACCCAAGTTTACAATCTCAAGTCTGCCACTTACTAAGAAGATGATTTTAGATGAATTATATAATTCTCAGCCTCAGTTTCTTTAGCAGATCATCAAAATATATACCAAGAGCCCATAACAATCTAGCCCAGTGTCAGGCCTTGTATAGATGGGGAATTATGTTGCAGAGGTTTATATAGACAGTGCCTGTCGGAACAGAGAGCACTTGACATCCAAGGTTTGGGATGTTTTTCTTTCATACATGGCAAGGACTAAACATGATGATTTCCTAATAGAGAATAACTCAAATTCTACCCCAAATTAATCCTTAGTTTGAAAATGCTAAAGTATTAAAGTAAAGACTACCAAAAAATACTAAAAAATAATAGTTTAAACATATATGTGTAAACATGGAAACATGCACCCGAAAAGCTTAAAAATGAGTAAATAAATTTTGAACTTTTGTATTTTTAACAGTTTGAACTCCATTTGGCTGGTAGTTGTGAAAATACAACATTATAAGTAAGTCTCAGAGCAAATAAACAAAAGGCAAAATATAACATTGCTTTTGCATATATTTTCATAGTGTTTTCTAAATGAGAATCTTGGAATTGTAAAAAACAGTGGAGAAATGACACAACCACCTAAGGAACACTGTTGAGAGTTCATGCCGTGTTTCAAACATTCTTATTCTTCATGGTGCTAGCACCATTGTTTAATGCTCCTGCAAGTCCCTCTGTCTAGAACATGTCAGCTGTTAGCTGTTTTGTCAGCTTGTTTCATGTTAGTTGTTAGTTGCGTTTTCCCTTGCTTTGTCTTATGTCTCTCCCACTTAAAGAAAACAGGGTGCTCTTCTCAACCACGTGTCTTCACTACATGTTTCTACAAGAAAATATTTTTAAAGCCTGGGGTATTTTCCAATATTAATAACTGATAATTAGTTTTAAATGTCTCATGCCTCAAAGGAGGTTCTGAAGTTTACCTATGTAAAATGCATGACTTGTAGTCACTGCATAAATTGATTACTTACTGCTTTCAACCACAGCAAGAAAATTATGAGTTCATGATTTTTCTTCAATGCAGCATGGGTGTTTTTGTCATATCTCTCTCTCTCTCTCTCTCTCTCTCTCTCTCTCTCTCTCTCTCTCTTAAATTAAATTAAAGCACCAGCCTCTGCTGCTACACATAAAATTCATTTTTCTTTTATCTATTTTAATGTATCAGCTAAAAATGCCTTCATATTATTCCTATGCTTGTGTTTTACTTATAGGAGTGGATGTTAATTGCACAGTTTTGTTTTTTTTAAGATGTCATTATTGCTATAATCTACATTGCCTATGTAATATTGTGGAGTATAAATCTAAAATTACCACACTGACTTTCTTAAGCTGCTTGTTAAGGCGGTATATTAATTCTTATCACAACAATACTCCTGTATCATATAAAAACATACTTTATAAAATGTTCTGATAATGAAGGCATGATAGCAGGAATATAATTCTCTTAACCTGGCAATTCATCACCCAAAAACCAATTTTCCCAGATGATATGTTGCCAAGATTCATGCTGCTGGATGTGCATAAAGAAGAGACCACGTATTGCTCTGCAACCACAATCTACTATTATTAAACAATAAGAAGACAGATGCACAAACAGCTTTTGGATTGAGTATAATTATTTGAAATATCTTTAAATAGCTTCTCTCAAAACTTAATTCCATACAAGAGTTTATGATATTGCTGTCCTTCTTCGAACTCTTTGTGCATTGCTTCTTGTCAAAGATGAATTTGAATTAATCCCAATTTTCAGCGTTACATTCATTGAATTCCAATTAGCCCACAGGAAGCCCCTTCAATACTACTCAAAGGTGTAAACCAGTACTCTGCAAGACCCCCGTAAACCTACCTTGTACTCTAAAATGCTATAGAATGGCAGAGTTTCAGAACGATCACAGTCAAATTGAAGATGATGGTGTTCAGCAGCCACTCACAACCAGGGCTGTGAACAGGCAGAAAGCTTGTCAGATCTCCCTGAATAACGGCTGGATTTTCATACGTATGATTAGGTAATGTTCTTCAATGAAATAAATTTATATTTGATATTTTTAATACCCCCCCCTCCGCCACCACCACCAAAACATAAAAGCTGTAAACAGCCACAATCCTTTGAAAATGGAATGGCCTTCTGTGACCCTCAGGCTAAAATTTAAGAGTTTTCTGCCGCTGATTCATTTCCATTCCCATGGAAACAGTCACCAGGAATGATTCTGCTGTCATTATTTTCGAGCACTTACCCTGGTTCCAATGATCTGGTGCTGTGTCCATGGAACTCAGCAAGGACATGAGCATCAGTCTTATGAAATGATCTGAAATAACTGACAACTGATAGGTTGAAAGGCAGATACTTCCCAAGAAATATATATAAAAAATATATTTTAGTGTTTATATTATAAATTATAAAAATAATTTATTGCATAAAAACTCTGCAAGGACACACAAGAAACTACAAATAGTTATTACCTAGAGAGAATTGGGAACTGAGCAGATAAGAGAATAGAATGGAAACTTTGTAGTTTCTTTCTTAGCTTTTTATAACAGAAGCTTCTAAACATAGAAAAAGTAGAGAGAATGGCATAGTGAATCCCCACACACCTATTACTCAACTTTAACACCTATCAACTCATGGACAATTTTGTTTTATCTGTATTCCCAACCCCCCACTGGATTGCTTTCAAGCAAATTCCAAATATCATACAATTTTACCAACAAATATTTAGTATTTACCTTTAAAATACAAGAGCACATTTAAAAATATAAACACAATATCATTATCAGATATTGACAATAATTTTAAGTATTGGTATTTAAAAATGTGCTCGTTTTTTTCATAAAATATTTTTACTGTTGGTTTATTCATGTTATGATCTAGATGACATTTGATTACTAAATTCCATAACTCTTTTAGTCCATAACTTCTCCTTCGTTTCTTCTTATTATTTTCCCCTTGAAATTTATTTTTTAAGAGTAGAATTTCCTAGAGTCCAAATTTTGCTGATTGCTTCCATGGTGTCATTTCACATGTTCCACTGTTCCCAGTATATCTTCAAACTGACGATTATATCTAGAGGCTTAAGCAGATACAGGTTTGACATTTTGACAAGAAGACGTCATATATGGTGTTCCATTCTCTCATCAGGAGACAGAAATTGTCTGGCTGTCTCTCTTTTTATGATGTTAGCAAAGAGATTGCTGAACATTGCATAAATCCATTATTTCATTGGGGATCTGAACTAAGTAAAGAATCATCTATTAAAAAATTTAATTAAAGATATATTTTTTTAATTAGGAGAAAGACAGTGCAGTAAGGCCCACCATAATGTCATAAGTGGACTCTAAAAAATGAAACATGTAAAATGGCCTGAGCACGCCTGTGTAACTAGGCGCCCCCCTGCCCGGAAGTCCAATCGGACTCCAAATCGCTGCTGGTCCCAGATGTGGTTTGACGCCATCTGGTGGTTCATGCCCACTCTACCATAAATATTGATGAGGATGATTCTGGGTCCTATCATTGACTGGGACTTCCAGGAACTTTCTAATGAGCTGGGGCCCATTTTGTCAATCCAATCTGGAGAAATCAGACTATAAGAATACTGGGGACAGGAGGACCCACACTTCAAGCTTTCTATTTCTCAAGAAGGGACTGTCTGCCATTTCCTGAGCAGGCTCTTCTTCTCTTCAATTGTCCATTACCCCTCAACTTCCAGAATATAAAAATTTTAGTAAATAGGGACTTGCCTGAGGAGTGTGGCCAATTGGTAATGGCACTGCAGCCGAATTCACATTGCTGCGTAAAGAATTTTACTGTAGATGCATGAATGTGAAGAAAATAAGTCACTCATAAACCTCCCACTCATAGACAACAATGCCACCATTTTGGAGTATCTTCTTCCAGATATTCCTGTAATATTCTTACATATACACCCACATAAAACCAAGCCATAGTTTATAGTAGACACATATTGGACAGGCTTTTTTTTTTTTTAATATAGGGCAGTGTTGGTGCCTAAACCTTTGTTTGACTGAGTCAAGCAGAAAGAAAACTAACCAAAGTTGAAACAACCATGGGAATTGAATGGAAACATTCAGAGGTGGAAGGTGGTTGGAGTGGACACATCTGATGACTGTGCTTTCACAAGAAGATTTGAGAGCTCTTGCTGTTGAGGTCCTCAGGCATTCCTTGTTTGGGTCCTTCCCGAAGCTTCCTTGTTCAGTTTTTAATTTAGGCTTTGTGAGGTAGCCCAGTTTCCTTACAATATGTGGTTATTAATAGAATCAGATTCTGCTATCTGAACTAAAATTATTTCAGTTGATATATGAGTATATTGCCACAGGTTTCTCAAAAATACATGGTAGATGTCCCATATATTTAGTTACTACATCATAACTGGTCATGATTTCTAACAATTTTCAATAATAAAAATAATGCTGGAATAATTACATAAACAATATATAAAGTGTTTCCATGTTTTTAATTATTTCCTTGAAAGTTGTTAAAACTTTTATGATATACACTTTAAAAACTAGTTTTAAGAGGAGTGGTATCAAGTTACCAAATTACTGTAATTTTGTAATTGAATGTTTGTCTTACCACATCTTCATCATAATTGATATTATAATTTATGAAAGTCTGTCAACTCAATATATGTGAAAGTTGTGTCAATGCTATTTTAGTTAAAATCTTTCATTGTCAGTGATGCTGAATATTTCAGATATTTGCATATTTATTCTGCCAATTTATATTTTTTCTCCATATCTTACAGGGTCATTCATCTTTTCATTGACTTGTAAGTTATTTCTCTTTTGATAGGATAATACTCTTTCCTGTAATAAATATTGCAAATATTTCTATTTTTTTTACCTTATGTTTATTTTTGTTTTCTAAATGTATGGATACTTAATTTTTACATATTTAAATTTTAATATTTTCTTTTGTAAAGTTCTTAGAAAATTTCTATACTACAATTTTATATAAATAGTCATAACATTTTTCTTTTTAAACATTTAAATCTCTGAAATTTATTTGATTTGCGGTGTAGAAAATCTTTTTTCCTCAAATGAGTAGTTAGATATTTCAATACTATTTATTAAATAATCTATCATTTCCTAACATTTTTGAAGTATAAAATTTATCATATGCTAAAATTTTATAAATGTTCATAATAGTTATTTGATTTTTTTTAACCCACTTCCATTTATTTTTTTATTTTATAATTGAAAGTCTTACAGGGAAAGCCCATTTCTCATTTTTATTTTTCAAAAATTTTTAGTTATTCTCACTAGTTAATTTTTATGTTAGATAACGTTAGAAACATGTTTTGCTCTTGTCAGATTTATTTTGTGTGAGATTTTGTTTGAAAAAGAATTGGCATTTTGATAGTAAAGTTTTCAGGTACATGATATATATTTCTACATTAATTCAAACCTTCTATTATATCCTACAGTAAAATTGTTTGTAATTTAAAAAATATATAGCTCTAATACATTACTGTATAAGCTTATTCTTAGATATTCTATATATTTGATTCCACTTAGAATGAATATTTAACTTTATTAAGTTAGTTTAATGGTGTATTATAAAAGTATTGGTTTCACTGTTTATGATAATTAACTCAGTTGATTCTAACTGCTCTTACAGAGAAACAACACTATCACCTATATGTAATAGAGATCTTATCTCCTCTCCTTGAGTGTTTATGTCTTTCATTTTCTTTTGGGCTTGTTGCATTGTTCTTTGATGATAGAGGAGGCAGTGGTCATTCTTCTATTGGTTTTTATATTTTGATATTATATATGCTGTTGTCCCTAGGCTGAGATTTTATTATCAAAAATCATAAACTTTATCAAATGTCTCTTAAACAGTGATTGACACATATATATTCCTCCTTTATTTAATTGGTAAGGTAAATGTATTAATTCAGTTCCCAATGTTGAAACATTTTTTCTTTCCCTAAACCCTACTGGGCCATAGTATATTGTTTTCAATAAAGGGGAGGATCTTATTTTCTACAACTTTATAAAGAATTTTAACATCCTTATTAATAAATGAGATCAGTTTATCATTTTGTGCTATCATTGTCAAGTTTTAGTGTCAGTGCTACCTTCAATTGGGATTTTGATTGGACTTGTGTTATACTTACAAATTATTTTAGAAAAATTTCCATCTATTTAATATTCAGTATTCTAATCTTGGAACATATTATCTCTCCATGTATTCAAGTCTTAATGTTGGATCACATTATCTGAGGCAGTATCATTTGATCTGAGAGCTGAAGAATGAATAGGAGTTAACTAGGTGAAAGGCTGGGTTAGTGGGAGGGCATTTCAGGAAGAAGTTGTAAAATGACAATTTACGTGAAAAAATTGCCTATTGAATAGATCTTACTAGTGATGAATATAAATAACTTTTCCAGATTTATTTAAAAGGAGAAAAGGCCATAAAGGGGAAAAGAGACTGGAACTGGAAAAGAAGGAGCGAGGATTGAGAAAAGATGGGAGAGATTTTATCATATTTAAGTGGTAATAGAATAAAAATATAAAGAAGGAGAGGTTAATAGTACAATAGAAAAAAGTGATAGTTCATCATGTGAGATTTCTGAGAAGGTGGGAAGAGATGGGATGTAAGGACAGATAGAGGCCTGGCTTTTGATAGGGAGAAGGGTGAGACCACTGGCATACTGAGGGAAAGAAAGAGAAGGATGGGTTCAGATGCAAGTAGGTGTGTAGAATGAGTACCAGGTAGTGGAAAGGGTTCCCATCTGATGAGGAGGGACAGTTATTTGCTAAGACAGAGGAGGGGTGGAAGGGTGGATGATCATGATGGGATAGAAAATGGACCAAAGAACTGTGGTAGGATTCCTCAGGAGTGTGGGGGATGCAGCCAGTGTTGAAGATGGTGAATTTAGTGTGGTACTAATGAATGGGTATTTTCCCATTACATTTTCTTCCTGGAGATCATCAGTGAATGGGAAAGCCAATGATTTAAAATTCTGACTAACTTACTGAGCTCTCGTTTTAATTCCAAGAGGTTTTATTTTAAACAT